TATTCATGATCTTACGCCTTGCTATGATTGTATACAAAGCTGCTAATTAGTAAGAGATTAATTTGAAATTGTTCATTCCTACTTCACTTTATAGTAGGTAGCAGACCCAATAATATTGCTGAAGTGAATTGAAGTGAAGTGAATCATCACAGAGTTCATTTTTATGAACATATTTAATAACAAAAGCACATTATCCTAAACTTTTTAATTTTGTGGTCAATCTACAACATGTAGAAAAATTGAAATGAACCTAGAAAACTGAATTCAAAATGTAGGAAGCCAGGAGTTTGTATTCCTAGCAAAACCAGTGCAGATATTGAAAATATATTAGGTTAAACATGCTAGATGCAACATTATCTTCACTTTAGTCGGTGAGGCAGTGTGATTTTCCTCCTGGTATTTTGGAGTGTCAAGGGAAGCAAGCCATCATATTCCCATCCCATTTTCCCCAGATCTTTCCCTCTAACCCAAGCTGAGTCTGACAAAATTAATTTGGTACATGGCTGAGAATCCTTGAGCTGACCCTACCTGTAGCATGCTAGAGAAAATTCTCACCTATCAGTTAGTTTATAAGTAGATCAAGTAACTTTTCCAGATACAATACACATTTTCCATTGAAAAGCTGTTTTCTAAACTCTGCAGATTTGCTGCAAAGAATAATGAAGAGTTTTCATTTCATACTTACCTGTAACACGGTTCTGAGACATCCCTTCTGTGTAGAGATTAATACTGTGATTATCAAATCACAAAAAAATCATACACAGTGAACAAGTTGAGAGAAAATTACTAACAGAAAAAAAAAACCCCTGAAATATTTTTAAAAGATAAAATTGGTAGCGGAATTGAAAGACAAAAATTAGAAATTTTACTTCTCCATAGCATTCTTATAGCATATAAGAAGTGATGTATCTAAATATCTATGCAGTAAGCACTATTTCTCATTCTTTTAGGCTTACTTGTGATGCCCTTACTCACTTGAGTAGTACCTATCTGCTCAGATTCTCCAACTGAATTCACCAAGTGAGATGTTATTCACTGGAAAAGACGTAAAATTCTTTCTTTGCTGGTGTAGTGGGTTGACTCTGGCTGCAAGCCAGATGTCCACCAAAGCCATTCTATCACTCCCCTCCACAACCGGACAAGGGAGAGAAAATATAACAAAGGGTTCACAGGTTGAGATAAGGACAGGGAGAGATCACTCACCGATTACTGACACAGGCAAAACAGAGTCAACTTGAGGATGTTAATTTAATTTATTACTAACAAAATCAGAGCTGGATAACAAGAAGTAAAACAAATCTTAAAAACACCTTCCTCCCACCCCTCTCTCCTTCCCAGGCTCTACTTACTCCCCCACAGTGGCCCAGGGAGATGTGCAGTGGGGGTTATGGTCAGTTCATCATAGGTTGCTCCTGCAGCTGCTAAGGGAGAGGAGGCCTTCCCTTGCTTCCTGTGGGGTCTCTCCCACAGGAAACAGTCCTTCACAAACTTCTTCAGCATGAGTCTATCCCACAGGCAACAGTTCTCCACAAACTGCTCCAATGTGGATTCCTTCTAAGGGGTCCAGTCCTTCAGGCACAGAATGCTCCAGTGTGGGTCCTCCACAGGGCCACAAGTTCCACCAGGAAACCTGCTCCAGCATGGGCTACTCTCTCCATGGGTCAGCAGGACCCTGCCAGGACCTTGCTCCATTATGGATCTCGCAAGGACTCACAGCCCTCTTTTGGGCATCTACCTACTCTGGTATGAGTCTCCTCCATGGGTTGCACCTCCATGGGCTTCACTGAGGTCTGCACCATGAGCTGCATGGGAATCTAATTCCTGAAACACCTCCTCCTGCTCTTTCTTCACTGATCTTGGTGCCTGCAGAGCTGTTCCTCTCAAATATTCTCACTCCGCTCTTCTCTGAGAGCAATTACATCTGCACAATAACTTTTCCTTCTTAAATAAGTTATCACAGAACTGCTGCTGTCATTCCTGATTGGCTTAGCCCTGGGCCAGCGGTGGGTCCATCCTGGAGCTGGCTGGCATTGGCTCTGCCAGACATGGAGCAAGCTGCTGGCAGCCACTTACAGAAGCCACCCATGTAGCCTTCCACCCCACTACCAAAACCCTGCCATGCAAAGCCAAAACAGCTGGGTCAGATGCAAGCACTTTGATGGAAGTTATCAAATATCCTGCTGAAAATATTGACATTGAACTATTGTTTCTAGAGAATGAGAACAGCAGGTTTTGTATGTTATTAGAAGTATTTTTCAGTTCAAAATGTAAAAAAAAAAAAAATATGTGCAGGAATACAAATAATGTGTGTAGTTTCTAGAAATGTAAACATTGCTGCATTTTGCAGGCATGAGTGAGTATTTCTTAAAAATTTTTTAGAATACAACATTGTTAGCAGAAACAGAAAGAAACCATAAAATATCCCATGATAAAGCTTAATAATTAAGTTCCTTTAGAATAAGATCTAAGTGGCAGCAAAAATTATATTGCAGGACTTAAGATCACTTTTCATCTGTAAATTATACATGATTGTTTCTTTCCAGACCATAGAAAGTTAGTATACGTGACCTTTTCGACAGGAAACATAATCTTCTATGAGGAGTTGCAAATTTGTTCACTATGCAGCAACTTTGATATTTATGCCTTTTAACTAGTTTAACGAACTTTTCTAGATATACTTGAAAATGCTTAACAGTTTGCTGTCTTTCTGGAAAATGTCAGGAAACACAAACAAACATTCAGTAGCAGAAAGGTGTCATGGCTCAGAAACTACTACAAGAACAAGAGATTATTAAAATTGTTATAATTCACTAGATTCAGTTTGTGTAATTTCCAAAGAAGAAATGTCATAAAGAAAACTTTGTGGTGGCATGTGCTATGCAGTACTACTGTGAGCCAGTGAAGTGTTTGAAAAGTATTATTTCTGTAAACAATTTTTTTTGCAAACCCAAAGAACAACTTTCATGCTTGACTTCCTCTTCTACATGAATCTTGGAATTCAAAGTTTTATATAAATCAAATACTGTCTGCATTTATTTTTACTGCACTTTATTGTATATGACCATAATATAATCTATTTACAACACACCCTAAGATTAGCTCATTTCATTAAAGAATGGTGCTAATAACACCAGGGTTGTGGGTTTGATCCCTGTATGTGCCATTCACTTAAGAGCTGGACTCAATGGTCCTTGTGGGTCCCTTTCAACTCAGAATATTCTGTGACTAAATGCTGTAAATTGCTATAAAATGAAGCAGCATATACCAGTGTGATGCTGGAACTCTAAATCATTGATATTTCCTAGTTCCCAGACTAATGTTGTTTTTCTCGAGCCTATGGTATCAGAAGTCTTTTTTTTTTTTTTTTTTTTTTTAAGTTACATACCCAGTCCTAAATTATCCTGTTACCAAAACCCAACAGGTATACGCTAGAGCATATACCCACCCACCTCTGAATATATAGGTTAGCTATCATTTCAGAATTGAATGAAAATGGATGTTGAACTGTAGAAGTGAATCAAAAAGCATATATCAATCTTCTTTTAAAATTGGTCTAAAAGTGTATGACATAGCTTAAACTAATGAAGAAGAACTTACAAGTATTTCATAGGCTTTAAATAATTATCTTGTGCTACATCATTAAACTGAGCTGATATTATTACCTCCTCTGTTATAACATCATTATACAAGATTTAAGCATTTTCCAGGGATGTCATAAGTGTCAAATCTTTCTAAAGTTACCTCTTCTGTGCCACTAGATTAAGATTAAATTTATAAATGATTTTCCTCTCTGCTTTTTGTCGTAATTTTTCACTTAAAATAAACAGTTTGACATTACAAAATCCTTTAAAAAAATTGTTTGCAAATTAAATTGATCTAGGCGTGTTTCCCTACTTTCGATGTGGCAACACTGTTTACTTTAAGTCCATTTCTGCTATGCACTAGTGTAGGCAGGAGCCAACAGCTCAGCAAATAGGCAGAGGCTCCGCACAGAGCTGCTAATCAACTTTGCTTAACAACTGATATTAGTTAGGGAACTAGTGGATTAGGACAACGTATTTGCAAAATGTCAGATCTGTTTGTTTTGAGACAACAAGAGCTACTTCAGAGGGAGATTAAAGATCAGATGAGGTCCTGTGAGGAAAAAGAAACAGATAATTCGGTTTGGACTCTGCATTAGAAGCATAGAGTAAAATATAATAAAATCAGCACCATCTCGAAGAATCTCAAGTCAAGGGAAAAAAAGTCAAGACATCCAGGGATATACCACGTTGGAGTATATCAGGAAGGGATTTGGATCACAGTCTCTGTGTTTATGTGAAGTAGAAAATTGGTTTAATCTCACTTTATAAACAGACTTTGGATTTTATTATTTTAGTAAAGGCAAACAGGGCACATGCAATTCTCACAGAGAATGAATAGTGTATATTTTAGAATGAAAAAGTGTTTTGTATATACAAAACAGATTAACTATCCATTAATTGTTTTAAAGGCCAAGCAGATAAATGCCTAAACTGCCACAGTACTAATATATAATTTACAGTATTGAGATGAAATCTGTGGCATATCTACTAAGTGTACATATGAAGTAGCTGTGCTGAATCCAGACCGAGGGACCTGGAGCAGCAAAAGTCAGAGGCAAGTCCTAACAGCTGGCTGACCAGGTGTGACGGATGCACTCTCATTCTTACACCCGGCTCACACTGGTCACATCCAGCATCCTAAAGGAGATCCCCTTCTCTCCTAAAGGAGAGATTTCCCAGGGTCAAGTGGGAATATAATGAGCCAGGATTAAGTTCTCAGACCAAAAGCAGATCTTCATTAGAGTTGAACAGGAAATATTTCAGCCTTCTCACATGGGCTATTTCTGACCTCACCTACAGAAGTGCTACCTTTGAAATGGTTGTCTGCTCCTCAACCTTTTAGGTAGTCACAATAGAAAGACATCTTACTTTTAAAGGCTGGTGAATCTGGTCCTTAGTGTCCATATCCTAGTTGCACAGGCACTAGGTCACTGATTGCCACTCCCAGTACATGGTACCTGTCCTGCTCTTGGAAGAACACAGATACATTAGACACTTCAACAAATCCTCCTGTCTGTCCAGCATGGGTGAGATCTCAGCTGATCCTGTTGGCCTGATTTTGGACCTCACATTTAAACAGAGATTTGGACCAGTGCGACACAGTCTGACTGCGCAACAATGGCCTGAAATATAGAAAAAAGAAAATAACTACCTATAAAGAAAATCTGAAGAGTTCAGCTAGTTTAATCTGAAGAACTGAAAACTAAAGGGAGACTAAGCAACAACGTTCAAATCCATGGAATATTATGGCAGAAAAGAATAAATGAACTGTTCTCTGAGGGCAGAGGAAAAAAGAAATAGGTTAAATTGCAGTAAAGGAGGTCTAACAGGCTAGGAGAAACTTTACAGGCTTGAGGTTATTTAGGCAAGGTAACAGATTGCTCTGCAGGATGTGGAATCTCTATCTTTAGATGCTTTTAAGAACAGGTTAGATAAACATCTGTCAGGAAAAGTTTAGATAGAGTGACCCTCTCTTCAGGAGCAAATTTCCACAGATGAATTCCTGAAGTGTTTGAGAAGTTTTTCAGCCTCATTTCCAAAGACTTTAGCATATCTCAAAATTGTATGTTTAATGAATTTACAAACTCATTAACAGAGAACTACACATCATCCGGTCATCAATGTTGCATTATTTATTAGAGTTGGTTTGTTGTTTTGCTCTTTGCTCTGTTTGCATAACAAACACCACCTTTAAGAGAGGCATAGCAGAGCTGCACATAACTGTAAAACAGAGCAGGACCCTGCTAGTATTATTTATGAACAATAATCCCTAGTGTATTACACAGTGGTTTCACTTTGGCAGAGAGAAAGGATTCAATTTACAACATAAAATTAGCATAAATCCAATAAATAGGGTAGTTGAAATTTAAACAATATACTGGCTTTTAAGAATATGTGAAATAGTTGTCATTTTTGTAGTTATAATCCTACTTGTTCCAGTCTTATTCCTGCAATGAAATCTTGGAATACCTGCCTTATAAAGGCATTCTAGCTAATTTATATTCTGCTTAAATGTGTGATTATTCTAGGAGGTTGGATTAAGAAGGAATACTTTCCTTTTTTTGATTAATGTTAGCTCAGAACCCATACAAAGCCATTTATCAACAGATGCTTTTTGACACCTGAAGTCTGTTCATCCAGACATTTTTTTCCTAAAGCATGTTTGTATAAACATTCTCTAATGTATAAAATACAGCAGTTCTGCATAGCTTTGAAAGTCAAAAGGTATTATATTCAACAGATGACAAATGGTTTATTTTCCCCAAAGATCATGACTTTGTATTTTATGTTATTTATACAGAACAATGCTGCAGCTCCGTGTTCCAGAAGAAAAAGGAAAAAAGGAAAGGACATAGATGTGTCTTTTTGATGCTCAACAGTGTTCACAGGACATATATATATATATATATATATATATATAAAATTTAAACACAGCATTGTCAGTAAGTTGTTCTCATAAAAGTACACTACAAAAAAATTATCACCAGTGAAGGAAGGCAAAAGATAAACTTATCTTTCCTACAGTAGCAGGTCTATTACCCTCTTTACAATAAATGTTCCATAAAGTAAATCCCATAGATATTTTTCTCAAATGCTGCTGTATTAATCACTTAAAATAAACCAGTCAGAGTGATTTCAAAATGGTCTGCGGGCCCAAAGCAGTGCTGGAAGACAGATGTTTATAATCACCAGTGCTTCTTCATACTAATTTTTTCAAATATTTCTTCCTAGAAGATACCTAAGACTCTGGTTTTACTTAAGGGAAATTCAAGCCTGAATGATGTTCCAGATTTTACAAAACATTTCCATTAGGAGTCTCCATTGACAGAAAATTTTTAAAGTTTAGCAAAAAGGGCAGTTATTAGGGAAAACAGCAATATTCAACAACAATGCCAGTTGGATTAGAGTTGAGCAATGTTTGTTTCCTTTTGAAAGTGAAAAAATCTTGGGGAGCAGCACATGGGCATAGGGAAACAGATAGCAGAGACTGTGTGATACTGGTGGCACAGTACTTAAAGTTTGTTACATCTTTCCAAGATTAACTATTATATTCATTAGACGTTCTACCCTACTTTTTCATACAGTTCTCCTCATCTGATGTGGGAGAGGGGAAAAAAAATAAAAATCCTAAAGTTTTCTGTGTAGAAATGAAAGAAATACAAAACAAAGTCCACTGGAATGAAGTGAAACACAGTGATGGAGATTTTTGTGTCAGTTTAGGTTTTAAATTAATTATAATCCTTTTAAAATGAATTGTAGTCCTTGAAAAAGACAAAACTGTTATTATATCTGTCTAGCTGAAAAAAAATAAATCCAGACTTTTTTCTTTATAACTAAAGTCAACTGAAATTAGTAACTATAGATTAAATAGATAAAAGTCTTAATAATTTGTGTTTTCCTTCTGTAGAGAATGTATCACAAAAAAATCTTAAGACCAGAACTGCCTGGTTATGTAACATTCATATAACAGCTGAAAGTTAATTAGCAACTCTTAAACAATGATTTTTGTGTAGAAAAGCCAATGAAGGCATGATTATATTTAGTTGTGGTCATACCATATTATCCAGTGAAAAAATGACATTTAAAAAACCAGAACAAATCAGAATAAACCAGGGGTATATTATTCTAAGACAAAAGATATGTTCAAGAGTTGTGAATGATCAGTGTCTACTGATACTGTCCTTTTACTCAGTGCAGTGGAGTGCAACGAAATTACTTCAATAATGCACAAGACAGACACAAAGCAGAGAAACCAGTGAGGGATTTTTCTGACAGGTGACCTGAGTTGGTGCATAGCTGCTGCAGAGAGCTGACCTAGGGCTGGCTTCCTTTTATCGGATGATTTCAGGTCTTAGTGTTACCCTCCTTTTGGAACATTTATTGCTCTTGGTTTAATTTGCAAAATGTGCTTGTGTATGCTACAGCCACTCAAAATCTGGAATAGAAGTGAAAGTTTATATTGATCTACAATTCAGGTGATAATGGGTACCAAAATGCACAACAATTAAATTACTCTGCTAATGCAATAAAGGATAGTTACCTGTAAGGGGTGGTAAGTGACAATTCAAAACATTCTTTCTACTCCATTTCTGCGCTTGACAGAACTTTTTAGCTCACTGCACATACTGTTTTTACTGAAGAGTTACATAAGCAACCTCATAAATTAGTCAGCCTGCACTGTGAGTAAATGCTGCTGGAAGGTATGTAATGGTTAGTCCAACATATCATCAGTCAGCAGGAAACTCCAGTATGTTTAATTACAGGATGGAGGAAAATGGGAGACAGAAGAGAAAGAATAAAAAAATATTATATGTGTATATGTATTTGTATACATATGCATACATATACATACATATACATATGCATTGAATACACCTTCTGTCCCATTTGTCTTAAATAATGTTCCCTCTGTTCTTCTTCAGAGGAATGACAGAATCTCACTGATGGTATAGACATCTAATAACAATTTCTATTTATTTTGGAAATAAATAATTTTTTAAAGTTTAAGATAAATTAAAAATAAAGTCTTAAAAATTAAATTGAATTTAAAAATGAAAAAATAAATATTAAAAATAATTTAAAAAATAATATTTCTCTTTCTTTTGGAAACTCACAGATTGTGTAAGAGTAAAAACATTTTTTAAGATTATTTATATATATATATTTACGCATAGATATGATTTACTTGATAATCCCATAGATATTTCTAAGGAATCAATGATTTTTTGCATTGTTACTTTTTATAAAAACTCAGATTATCTACTTTGATTTCAATTAACCTTGCATGATGTTATTATAGCCTTAAATAATGGGAAGGAACTAAATAATTAAGTAGAAAATTGAAGTGAACAGCTCGTGAAAGGAATCAGGTTGAATATTATTTTAAGTACAAACTTGTATCAAATAAAGAAATAAAACTAAAATTTCTAATCTTAGCAAGATTGATATATTAATATATTAAATTTTTAAGTTTCTACCTGCAGCTAGTGTAATTTTCTCCAGTTATAGTCACTCAGATTTGCTTATAACTGTTTTGTGCATCTCATGCTTAGATGGTTACTTGGAAATATTTCTACTCATCCTAAACACAGAATTATCTGAGAAAGAAGGTTAAAAATTTTTTTATTAAAAAAATCAATAAAAATTAATGTATTAAATGTACTTGTTATCAGAGCTGTATTTCTAATGTGATCCAGTCAATGTTCCAGTTATTTTACCTTTGCTTTGCCTTATTTTTGTAGAAGTGCCTGGCACACTGTACACATTAGCAAAACTAAACTATATGTGCTATATTTTAACTGACTCTTACACAGCTGAAAACTACACAATAAATTAGGAAATGTGTTAGTAACAACTGAAAGAAACAGGAGATATAGACAAATTATTTTGACAACCTACTCAGATGAAATATTGTAACACAAAGCAAGGAAAATGCTCATATTTTATAAGGACACTTTGTTCTCACAACCAGTCCACAGCTCAGAAAATTTAGATCATGACGACTTAATATGAGGGGAACATAAATGCAGCACATTTCCTCTACAGTCACTTGGAATCAGTATAAGGATCCAAAATTTCTGTGATGTCAAACACTAGAGGTCACAACGTGTAAAAAATTAAGAATCTCCTTGGGCCAAATTAAATGTCTTAACATAGATATTTTTTTTTAATCTTTTCCTACTCTTGCTGGTATTTTGATGTCTCAGCAACAGGTTCTAACTATTACTTCTGATAGGTCTTTGGGGAGGAACTGATTTATTTCATGGGGTTTTTTTGTTGCTGTTGTTGTTGCTTTTCTGTTTTTTTTTCCTTATCACACTTTGATTCTAAAATACGTGTGCACAGATATGTTGTGTCTGGCTGAGATGGAGTTCATTTCCCCATAGCAGCCCTCATGATGCTGTGCTTTGAACTGGTAGCTGGAAAGGTTTTGATAACACACCAGTGTTTTGGCTACTGCTGAGCAGTGCTGGTGAAGCAGCAGCACTGTCTCAGCATTCCTCCACCACTCCTCCAATTGAGGGCAAGATCCTGGGAGGGTACACAAGCTGACCCAAACTAACCAAAGGGATATTCCATACCATGTTATAGGAGGAGGAAGCAGGGGCACTCATCGTTTTTTACAGTGTTTGCCTCCTGAGTAACCTCCACAGGTGCTGAAGCCCTGCTTCCCGGCACATAGCCGAACATCACTTGCTAGTGGGAAGTAGAGAACAAACCTTGTTATTTTCCTCTTCACTTGTGTGTGTGTGCAAACTTCACTTTGGCTTTAGTAAACTGCTTTGTACCAAACTATGAACCATTTTGCATTTTTTTGTTTCTTCCCTGTCCAGTTGAGAAAGGGGAGTGATACAGTGGCTTGGTGGGCCCCTGGCATAGAGTCAGGGTCAGCCCACTGTAACTGATAATCATTTTATTGCCATCATAGTAATTACAACCCTTAGGCAAACTAATTTTAGTGGTTAATTTTCATCTATGTTTCAGGAGAGCTCTGCCTCAATCTTTCCATGTACAATATACCCTACATTTTTAATAATTTAATAGCCTCAGGAAAGAAATAGTTCTGGTGTGGGTGTATGGGTGTATAGCCAGAGTCACAATAAAACACAATTATAAAAAAAGCTCAGCTTGAGTTCCATTTACCTCCAAAAAAAACCCCCTATGAAATTGTTTTCAAGTGTATTTCCAAAATGTCTTGTAGTGTTTAAATGTTCGGTTCTGTTATGGTACAATTTTCAGTGAAATAATATCATTATAGAGGAACATGTGCAGGATTCTCTTAAGTGTCGCATTTATCAGACCCAGCATTTTTACATGTTCATAGTTTGGGTGCTGCTAAGGTATTGATATTTTTAGAAGTTTACAGGTTGCTTATGCTGTTTTTGCTTTCATATTAAAATTATGATACTACCTGACACTATTCTAGAAAACAAGCACATTTGAACAAAACAAAACAAAATATTAGCTTTGTTTATTCAAAATAACACAAGGAAAAGCCAGAAATAAGGTATATTTTCCGTGTGCATCAAACTTAAACAATAATATGTACATCTTCTTGAATGCTAAGAAAACAAGTCATATCCAAGTTAAAATTCATCCAAAATATTCCATAATATTCCATGGAAATATTTTACCAAATACTAGATTTTACACACCCTCCCCCCACAGCGTTGCTTTACCACAGGAAATGTTAACTCTCTTGAAGATGGAAACCTTCTATTTAAAAAGGGCAAATTTCCATCTCACAGAATGTGGATATTTCATTAATATTGTAGCTTAGTATTACTATGATATGATACAGTAAAGATGAAAAAGGAGTGCATTTTGCAGTGATT